AAAATCTCCATTGCATTAGTAAATTCAATTAATAATTGATTTTTACAAATAGATAAATCATTAGTTAATTTGATTTTTAAGAAGAATAGGGAAAACCAAATTACCAATACCAAAAGTGAAAAAAGAATTCACAACAAATGAAGAAGATCCAGTTTTCCCCTATAGGATTATAGTCAATTTTGCTGGATAAGATATTCTTGGTTATAAGCCTATATCTTTTGCCTTTTGGAATTTTGCATTACAAGCTCTCTTCTTCTTTAAGTAATAGCTGCCCAATCTTGTGTGTTCTTGACTCGGACCTTGAACTCTTTCTTTCTGGATGCTTGTAATATTTTTTTATTTGACCTGTATACACTGGATTTTGGCTTTGACAATCCTGAGAGTTTTGCTTTTGGTGTACTGGCAAGTAGATTCTTTCTATTTTTATTATCCTCTGGTCCCTTCATTTCTCTCCCAGGCCATCTCCCCTGCACTAGCCACTCTCTCCTCTTTTCCCCCATCCTGGCCCTGTGGTGAAACAATTCAATTCTACATTTTCTTTCTGTCTTGCCCCCTTATCGTATCTAGGATTATACCCAGCCAAGCCTCATCCTTGGATCACTCCCACCATTTGCCACCTTCACTCCTACACATGCTGCTGGATGAAGGTGGAGAAAATCACACAACCATTCAGACTGGGTCCACTACAGATTTATGTTCCATAACCTCAAATGAACCCTCACTGCTGCTAGGCAATCCTACTCTGCCTCTTTCATTGACTCCCTCTCCCATTCTCCACAGAAGCTCTTCCAAATATTCTCATCCCTCCTCAAACCTCCCAAGGCTCTCCCTCCCCACTCTCTCTCAGCTGAGAACCTTGTCTCATATTTTACAGAAAAACAATGGAGGCCCTTTGCCATGATCTCCCTCTTCTCCTGTCTTCCTCATCTCGTATCATGCATCTACCTTCTGCCCTTCTCCCCTTCAGCCCTGTGTCACATGATGAAGAGGCCTTACTCCTTACCAAGACTAACCCCTTCACGTACACTAACAATCCCATTCTATCTTGTCTCCTCCAACAAATTGTGCCTTCTGTCACTTAGCTTCAGCCTCTCCCTGTTGACTGTCTCCATCTCTCTGCCTACAAACATGCCCATGTCTCCTCTATCCTCAGAAAAGCCCTCACTTGATCCTTCCATCCTTGCTAGCTTATCACATATGTCTTCTGCACTTTGTAGCTCAAATTCTTGAAAAGACTGTCTGCAATAGGCACCTCCACTTTCTCTTCCTCTCATTCTCTTCTTAGCCCTTTACAATCCTGTTTCCGACCTGTGCTCTTGGAAGTTACCAATTATCTCTTCGTTGCCCTCTTCTCAGTCCTCATTTTCCTTGACCTGTCTGTGGCCTTTGACACTGTTCAGTGCTCTCTCCTCCTTGGTCCTCTCTTCTCTCTAGGTTTTTAGGACACCCTTCTCTCTCCTGGTTCTCCTCCTCCCTCTCTGACCACTCCTTCTCTGTCTCCTTTGCTGGATCCTCCTCCACATCATGCCCTCAAGTCATAGGTGTCCCTCAGGGCTCTATCCTGGGCCCTCTTCTCTTCTCCCTCTATACTCCTCAGCTCCCATGGATTTAATTACCATCTCTATACTAATGGTTCTCAAATCTACCTATCCCTCCCCAACCTTTTTGCTGATCTTCAATCTCACATTTCCGACTGCCTTTGAGACATCTGTTGCAATTGAAATTAAGAGAAACTGAGGCAACCTAGCCCACCCCCCCCTTTCCAGTCTTCTTACACCTTATTCCCCATCATGTACTCTAATTCTGTGGCACCAGCCTCTTGATTGTTCCGTCTCTTGGCCCTGGGCATTTTCTCTGACTATCTCCAGTGCCTGGAATGCTCTCCCTTCTCAACTCTATCTACTGACTTTCCTGGCTTCCTTTAATTCCAAACTAAAATCTCGTCTTTTACAGGTAACTTTTCTCAACTCCTCTTAATTCTAGTGCCTTCTCTCTGTTAATTATTTCCTATTTATCCTCTATATAGCTTGTTTATAAATATGTGTGTATCTTGTCTCCCCCATTAGATTGTCAATTCCTTGAGGGCAGGAACTCTACCTTGGCAATCTCATAAGCTCCATTGCCATCTCTATCTAGGTAGATTACTCCCAGAACTATAAAACCAGTCCTAGCCTCTTTGTGGAGCTTCAATCTGCCATCTCCAGCTACCTGCTGGCACCTCAAACTCAGTGTGTCTAAAACCGACCTTGATTTGGGGTATTTGCTTGTAGGACAGAAGATCTCAAACTAGAAGCGACTCTGAAGGTTTCAGAGGAAGAAACTGAGGCAGTCCAGAGAGGTGCAAATAGCTTCCCCATTGCTGTACAAGGCTCAAACTTATGTCTTAAGAGTCAGAGGTCCTGGATCCAAATCCCTCCTCTGCCACCTGCTACCTTGGTACTTCTCCTCCATAGGCTTCCATTATCACCTCTTGAAACTGACAGGGTTGGACACAACGGCCCTTCCGACTCAAAAACTCTGATTATACCCCAAAGCCAGGATATTGTGTCATACACATTCCTTACTCTTCCTCACCTCCTACCCAATGCAATCAATTGTGAAATCCCAGGAGCTCTACCTCTATATCATCTCTTGCATCATTAGCCTTGTCTCTACTCACCCGGCCACCACCCTAGGTCATCCTTATCACCTCTCCCCTAGATTGTTGCAATAGTCTGCTAACTGGTCCCCTGGCCTATAGTTTCCACTTTCTTCACACAGCTACCAAATAATCTTCTGAAGGCCCAGATCTGAGCACAGCACTCTGCTCAGAAACCTTCAGATGCTCCAATGGCCTCTGGGACTAATAATAATAACTCATTTGCATGACACTCTAAGGCTTACAAAGTGCTTTGATTCTCACAACAACCGGGGGAGGAAATTGAAGGTCAGAGATGTGTTGATTTGCCCAAGGTCCCATAGCTAGTGTCTGAGGCAAGCTTCCAACACAGATGCTCACCACCTCCATGGTTAGAGCAATCCATCTCATGAAATACACACTTCACCTTGGCATTCAAGGACCACCACAAGCTACATCTGACTTACCTTTCCAGCCTGATTTCATTTGACTTGCCTTCTGACACTCCCCACACCAATCAAACTGGCACATTAGCTTTCCCTCAAGCTAGACATGCCATCTTCTGCCTCTAGGCACTCCCACTGACCAAAGTGGCTGTCTCCAAAGCTTGCACCTCAGCCTCTCAGCATTTCTCTTCCTTCAACATTCAGCTCAGTTGCTATCTCCTCCATGCAGCCTTCCCTGATTCTTCCCCTCCCCCAGCTGAAAGTATCTTCCCCCCTTCAAAGACCCCATGGAACACCTTGCCCAGCTCTCTTCTTTCCTCCCCTCTCTCATATACTTATCTCTTCACATGTATAATGCCCCCCTCCCTCCCAGGAGAATGTGAACTTGAGGGAAAAGGCACACAGTGCCTGGCTTAGAGGAGATGCTCACCCACTTTATCAACAAATAGTTCATAAATTGAAGTCAGCCACCTCATTTTATAAAGGAGAAAAGTGAGGCTCCAAGAAGAGAAATTATTTGGCCAAGCCTATTTGAGTAGGGTCAAAAAAAGGCTAAAGAGGTGGCATGGGGGGTCAAGGGGAAGGGGAAGATTCAGGGGTTCCTGCCTCAGTACAACTACTGGTGGCCCTTTGCTGCTGAAGACATAGGGCTCTCCTCCATCTCTCTTGGCTAAGCAGGAAAAAGAAGCAGGCTCTTTTTCCATGGACCATTTGGGTTCTGGATTAGCCACTTTTCTTTCTTTCTTTCTTTCTTTCTTTCTTTCAAGGCATTTGGGGTTAAGTGACTTGCCCAGGGTCACACAGCTAGTAAGTATCAAGTATCTGGTCTGAGACCAGATCTGAACTCAGGTCCTCCTGACTTCAGGGCCGGTGCTCTATCCACTGTGCCACCTAGATGCCCCTATTAGCCCCTTTTCTCCCAGTTTGGCCCCAGAGTCACCCAGGTCAGGCCCCAGTCAGCCCCAGAGTCAGTCACTCAGTGTGGAATATGAAGTCAGACAGGATCCTTTGGAATATTTACTTCCTAGCTGTGTGACCCTGGACAAGTCACCACATGTCTCTGCACCTCAGTGGCCTCATCTGTAAATTGAGGATGTTGGACTAGGTGGCTTGTGAGGTCCCTGCCAACTCCCAATCTGTGCCCCTTGTGTGGGATTGGGTGAGTCACACCTATTCTCTGGGCTTCCTCAGTTTCCTCCTCTGTAAAATAAAAGCATGGAACTCATGGCTTCTGAGTTCCCTTCTAGCTCTTAATCTCAGATCCTAAGAACATCAGTGGTATTTCCAGCTTATAGTAGACCTGGGAGCAGGAAGAGTAGTAGATCTACTGGCATAGATTTATATGCCTACTGTGCTCAACACAAGAGCTCCAGAGATAAGAAACAACCCAGATCCTGTCCTCAAGGAGCTCACATTCTGGGTGGGGGTGGAGGGGAGGGGGATGGAGGAAAGCAGTAAGGGAAGGAGAGCAAGAAAGAGGAAAGAAGAAGAAGAAGAAGAAGAAGAAGAAGAAGAAGAAGAAGAAGAAGAAGAAGAAGAAGAAGAAGAAGAAGAAGAAGAAGAAGAAGAAGAAGAAGAAGAAGAAGAAAGAAGGGGAGGGGGGAGAGAGAGAAGCAGGGAGGGAGATAGAGAAGGAAAGAGGGAGGGAGGACAGAGATACAATTCAGGGAAAAAGAGAAGCTAGAGGCCTACAGTGGTAAGAGAGCTGGCCAGGGTCCTGCCAGAGATGGAGGCAGAGGCGGCGGGCAGGCTGGCCCTCTGTGTAGGAGGCTGGGGTGTGGCTGTTCTCAGAGAAGAGCTAGAGGAAAGGTTGAAGGCTGGAATTAGCAGGGAGCTAAAAGGGCTCAGAGACAAGATGAGAAGCAAAGCACTCAGGCTTAACTGAGCTTGTAGGGCTCAGGACTTCTGTGTGGCCTCCCTGCCACAGCTAGGGCATCATGGCCTTTGGCTCCACATTGGATTTCCAGGCTGTCCTCCAGACTCTTTCGGTTCTACATTGGGTCCCCCTCTATGTGGTACTAGGTAAGTGGGCCTGCGGGGAGGGGATGGAAGCCCACCTGCCTCACTGAGATCACTTGTCCACCAAAGGGTCCGTGTAGCCAGAAGTCCTGCTGGGGCTTAGCCCTAGAAACCACATTTCAAGTGTGTTCAAAGGAGAGGGAACATAGTGGATGACCAGGAAAGACAGAGGAGCCCAGGCCATCCAGATGAGGATACATTGGGGGAACTGGGGAAGCTTAGTTGGGGGACTGAGAACATTTAAGGGGAATGTGCCAGCTATTTGGAAGTATCTGGAAGGTTTCCAAGCATGGTTAGATTGGTTCTACTCAGTTCTTGGCCAGAAATTCGAAAGGGCAGCTATGGGAACCTGAGCTAAGGGGGCAGATATGGGCATTGTGGAGCAGTGCAAAGAGTGCTGCATTTGGAGTCAGAAGTTGTTATTCATTCATTTTTCAGTTATGTATGATTCTTCATGACCCCATTTGGGGTTTTCTTGGCAAAGACACAGGAGTGGTTTGCCATTTCCTTCTCCAGCTCATCTTACAGATGAGGAAACTGAGACAGACAGGGTGAAGTGACTTGCCCAGGGTCACACAGCTAGGAAGTGTCTGAGGTCAGATTTGAACTCAGGAAGATGAGTCTTGCTGACTCCAGGCCCGGCACTCTATCCACTGCAGCACCCCCTAGCTGCCCTAGAGTCAGAAGACCAGAGTCCAGATCTTGGAACTGCTACTTCCTGTCTGTGTGAACTGGTACACATGACTCCCTCTCCCTGGGCCTCTCAGCTCCCTCATGCCATCTGTGGTTCTGTGATCTAAGACGTTACGTCGGTAGAAACAACAGTATATGACAGCTGAGGAGATGAAGGAGGACGTTATAATAGAGAGAGCATTTATCAAGGGAGAGCTGCATGCCAGGCATGGGACCAAGTGCTGAAGATACAAATACAAGCAAACAAGATGGTCTCTGCCCTCAAGGAATTTCCATTCTAGGGGGTGCTGGAAAATGAGGGAGGGGCTGCTGCTGGGGAGAGTAAACTGAGCCAGGCCTGAAGTGAGCATGGTTGGGGGCCCTCTGGGCTAGGGAGGTCCCAGTTGGGAGATCAGGCCAGGCATTTGGCATGGGGCCAATCAGTTCAGCAGGAGCTGTCCAGAATCAGACCTTGTCACTGGAGATCTTGAAGCAAAAGTCAAATGACCCCTTGGGTGATACAGATTGGCCTAGATGGCTCTTCAGCCTACAAAGGTGACATGTGGGCACCCAACCCAGCCACAGGCTTCTCTGCTTAGTGCAAAGGGCAGGCAAGATGCAGGTCCAGTAGTTTCAAAGAACAATGAATCAAAAATAGATACAAAGACTCTTGGAGGCTACAGAGACCAGCTGCCTCTCTGCCCTCCCCCCATTTCACAGAAAGAATGAAGGAGGATTCACAACACTATAGTAGCATCTCTCATCCCAATTCTGGGAGGCAGTGCTCAGAAGAGAACTCAGCTTTCCAAAGTGAAGAGGTCCTCAAGGCCTTTGCGCACGATTTGAATGTTTGCATGTGGCTGTCCAAGTGATTTGGAGGACAACTTGCCATGGTCAAATGTTTCCCCGGAAGGTTGCTCCTACCTAAGCAGACTTTTCTCTCTTCTCCCTGCTCCAACACTCACACTGCTCCCAGAAGGGTCCACATAGCCAGGGCCCAGGAGAGGAAGAAGAGATGCCTTCCCTCCCACCAGGTCCCCAGGACGTAGGTAATAGACCCAGACTCTAAGCTGAGAAGCCACCAGTGCTAAGCAAACACTTTGGCCTTCCCTGTAGGGTGGTCACTGGCCTGGACATTGGAACCCTAACAGCCTGTAATCACCCCAGAAGCTTGGGCAACATTTTGTCAACAGGGTCTGGGTTCATTTGTCTTCCTTCTGGAGGCCCAAGCCCTGCCATAGAATTAGCAGCTCTGGCACCATCCTATGCCCTGGTCAGGCTGCCATATCTGGAGGCAGGCACCTTTGGTTCCAGACACCACATTTAGAAAGGACACTGAGAAGCTGGAGAATGTCCAGAGGAGAATGACAAGGATGGTGAAGGGCCTTCAAATTAAGCCATAGAAGACTGGGGGAAGGAACCAGGGAGAAGAGAAGGCCCAAGGAGAGCACAGCTGTCTCCAGCATTTGAAAGGCCCCTCCTCAAGCCTCCATTTGATGAGTACTCTCAGGCAAGCCATCTCATTCCGCACTGGCCCCCCCACCTTGGACTTCTCCATCATGCTTCCCCTCCTTTTCAGAGGTGGAATCAATGTAAGGGAATTCTTTTTTGTATGTGTATCCGCAACACTTGTCTTTGTACACACACACACACACACACACACACACACACACACACACACACATACTCCACAGCAGGACAGAAGCTCCTGGAGGGTGGTGACTTGGCCAGGTCTGTTTCTGTATCCTCAATGATTTGCACATAATGACACATAACAGAAATGTTTGTTCAAGGCTGAGCTAGGAGTAGCAGGTGAAGTTTGCAGTTGCTCTTTACCCAGAGTGAGGAAGTAAGTAACTTCCTAACAATTGGGGCATGGGAAGGTAGACTGCCTCAGAAGGTAGTGAGTTTCCTGTCACTGGAGGTTTTCATGCAAAGGCTCTGGAGGGTATTCTCACAGAGAAAGGAGTTGAACCGAGGTTGCCTGCCAGTCCTGAGTTGTTCAGTCATTGTCATTGAGTCAGTCAGTAAGCATTTATTCAGTGCCTGCTGTGTGCCAGGCACTGTGCTGCTCATCTATCCGTTGCCTCCACAACCCTAACCCTGCTCCTAATAGCTCCTGGTTACATGGTGTTTTATGATGTTTCTATAGAGGGAAGGGGACTTAAGTGAGAGTCTTGGACAAGATGACCTCAGAAGTCATCTACTCCAGCTGCCTCATTTGGCAGAGGAGGAAACTGATGTCAGAGAGGGGGTTGGACTTGACCACGAGTGACGGAGCAACCCTTGGTACTTCCTCAGGAGCAATCCCCATCATTTTTGTGCCTGTCCTGCTATTCACCAAGTACTGGATGGTGTCTGTGCTTACCTTAGGCTGGCTTCTATATGACTGGAAAACTCACAGTCAAGGTAAGTGGGAAGGGGGAGGGGATCCAAGAAACGCCGAGACTAAATGCACACTGGCAGTGTGGCTGAGTGGGAGGCTCAGCTAGAAAGAGAGGGCTGGGAGGAAGACTCTCCTTATCATGGCTTGTGACGTAGGCCAATTTTATAAACGGGGAACTGAGGTTCAGAGAAGAGCTGAGAGGGGTGATTTCAAGTTCTAGGACTCACCCCAGGGCCTACAGGGGGTGTGTTGGTAAGGGAGTGAGGGGAGGGGGTATGCTGTGCCTCAGAAGTATCAGGATAGAAAAAGAAACCCTGAGGAGGCCAGTCTTCTACTGGGACATGGGAGGTCAGGAAGCTGTCTCCTCCTCCAGAGAGAGAGAGCAGAAGGGCTAGATGGGGCAGTTTGCTCTGCCCCAACTCCCTTCCTTCCCTTTCTCTATAGGTGGCAGGCGCTCAAACTGGGTGAGGAACTGGACCCTTTGGAAGCATTTCCGGGACTATTTTCCTATTAAGGTGAGCAACCACCACACACACACACACACACACACACACACACACACACACACACACACAGAGCTGCTTCCCTCAGACCCCTTCCTGTTCCTGGGCCATGGTTTTTAACTTCAGCTTTCTGGCCTACAGTTTACAAAGGTTCAGCAGCCAGTACTTTGAGGTACAGTCCCAAAGAAGCTTATAGATAGATGGATGGATGGATGGATGGATGGATGGATGGATGGATGATGGATGGATAGGTGGATGGATGGATGGATGGATGGATGGATGGATGGATGGATGGATGGATAGATGGATGGATGCATGGATGCATGGATGGATGGATGGATGGATGGATGGATGGATGGATGGATGGCTAAATGGAGAGGCAGTAGCCTCTCTATACCGTAGAGGTCTCAGGGAAGGCATGTTTAGGGGATGGATACCATTTCTCTGCTTACATCCTCATGTGATCATAGGATTTTGAGCTGGAAGGGACCTTAGAGCTCATCTAGTTTAGCTCCCTCATTTTACAGAGGAGGAAACTGAGGACAAGAGAAAGTATCTAACTCATATTCAACAGGATCCATTAATCAGTAAGAATTTATTAAGCACTTACTATATGCCAAGCACCATGCTAAGTGCTAAGGATGCAGAGACAAGGTGAAACATCCCCTGTCCTCAAGGACCTTCTATTCTAATGGGGGATCAGGGTCTTGATGTTTCCAGATGTAGGTCCATGTAGGATCCTTAGGTGGGAGTAGATGGAAGGACACCTGAGAGGAGAGGGCAGCACAAGCAGCTGCTCTCCAGGTCTTTCTGTAGGAGCTCAGTTCTAATGGAAGCCAAGGATTTGGACAGGTAGAAGTGAGGAGGGCCCACGTGGAAGGGATTGGGGGGGTGGGGGGAGAAAAACCAGTGCAAAAGCATGGAGCCTGTAGAGGGCAGTGTAGATAGCCTGAAAGGAACTCCTGGCAGGGCCCAGGTTAGAAAGGGCTTTAAATGTCCAAGGGAGAATTTTCCATTGCGTCCTGGAGGTGACACGGAGCCCATACAGTTATGTGGGTAAGGAGATGACATGGGCAGATGTACACTTTAGGGAAATCACTTTGGCAACTGGGTGTGGAATGGATTCGAGTGGGCAGACTTGAGGCGAAATTAGGGAGACCAATTAGAAGGCTAGAAAGGGTAGGAGCCTGGGCTGGGGTGAATGTAGAGAAGCAGACGCATGTGAGAGATGGAAAAGCTAAGGTGTGTCAACTGATTAGCTCTGTGGGGCAAGTGAGAATGAAGAGTCTTAGATGACACCAAGGCTGAGGACCAGGGCCTTGTCTTCCCCCCATCCCCAGCCAGGCCATCTCCCACTACCCTTTCCTTGGCTTCTTGCTCTTCTCTCTGTCTCCCAGCCCTCATACTCTCTCGTCCTAACAGCTGGTGAAAACTTGTGAGCTCTCCCCAAGTCACAACTACATCATTGCTGCCCACCCCCATGGGATCCTCTCCTATGGGATCTTTTGCAACTTTGGCACAGAGTCCACTGGCTTTTCTAAGATTTTTCCTGGGATCACCCCCTCTCTCGCCACCTTGGAAGGGATTTTCTGGATCCCAATTGTCCGGGAGTATGTGATGGCAAAGGGTGAGTGAGTCCGGAGCTTCCCTACCCCTATCCCTGCCCATCAGACCAGCTAGCACCATCTGGCCCTGCTTCCAATTCTGAGTCATATCCCAGCCCTCGTCTTAGAGCTGAAGGAGTTGAGGGTAGGAGGGAGACTTTCCCATCAGAGAGAAAACAAAAACTTTGTATTGGGGGAAGGGAGGGTGGCAAATGTCCCTACTCCCTTCTGTACCAATAGCATCAACCAGCCCGAGGTAGAAGGTCTAGGTCCTCGGAGCTGGGCTAGCTGGGTGTACTGGCACCCTGAGGTGTTTTCCTGGAGGGCCTAGGGCCTAGAAATAGGTCTCTGTGGTCTATGGCCCCTGCAGAAACCGACAGGTAAGAAGTCCAAATTGGGAGGTGGCAGTGGGGGAAGAAGGGGAGACTATGTAGGAACTTTCTGTTGGCTGTCACTTACAGTCTAGCTCATAGCCAGGCACAGTCCTGCCACCAGCAGGGTTGGAATCTCGCCCTCTCAGTTCCCTGGTCTCTGGTTCTTTCTCTGTGCTAACACTGACTTGTCCTTGAAGAAAAGCTGGTCAGGGGCCTGGCAAACAATTGGTACATCTTGTCCAAGATCAGCCTACCCCAATGCATCACCCAGCAGGGCTGGGCTAGTTCAGAAGGGCTCCTAGGCCTAAGGGAGCAGGACTTTCCCCCAGAACCTGGGCCAGGAGGGAATTCAATTGCGAGTGGGGGAGTGGAATTGGGAACTCAAAAGTACTATGAGCTGGGGATCCATCACTGTTGCCTTCACCCTTGAAGGGCCTGTGCTGAACCCTTCTCCTGCCCCATAAGCCACCTACTCAATGGGAACTAGCCTAGAGTATGGAGGCAGACAGAGCCAGTTGGGAAAAGAAGTAAGAAGGAGAAGAGGTGGAGAATGGAAGAGGTGGGGAGGAGAGGAGGAGGAAGAGAGGGAGGGGAGGAGAAAATAAGGAGAAGGGGAGGAGGAGGGAGGAGAAGGAAAGGGAGGGGAGGAAGAGAAGGAGAGGAGGAAAGGGAGGGAAGGAGAAGGGGAGGAGGAGGGAGGAAGAAGAGAGGGAGTGGAGGAAGAGAAAGGTAGAGAAAGAGGAGAGGGAAGGGAGGAGAAGGGGAGGAAGAGAGGGAGGGGAGAAGAAGGGAAGGAGAAGGGGAGGAGGAGGGACGAAGAGGAGGAGAGGGAGTGGAGGAAGAGAAAGGGAGGGAATGAGGAAAGGGAGGGAGGGAGGAGGAGAGGGAGGGGAGGAGGAGATGGGAGGAGGAAAGGAAAGGGAGGAAGAGAAGGGGAGGAGGGAGGAGGAGGAGAGGGAGGGAGAAGGAGGGGAGGAGGAGGAGGAGAGGGAGGGGAGGAAGAGAAGGGAGAGGAGGAGAGGGATGGAGTCAGGGAGCATGCCCTCTCCAAGTACAAGTTCTCCTAGTTGTACTCTACACCCTTGATTCCATAGGCATATGCCCAGTGAGTCGCTCAGCCATAAAATATTTGCTGACAAAGATGGGCTCCGGCAATGCTGTGATCGTGGTGGTGGGAGGGGCCGCCGAAGCCCTCCTGAGTGTCCCTGGAACTGCCAAAATCATCCTGAAAAACCGCAAAGGCTTCGTGCGGCTGGCCTGCCAGACAGGGTGGGTCCCTAGAATCACCTTTAGCATAGATGGCTCGTTCAGACTTTGGAGAGACCCAGGGTGCCAGGCCCAGCAGGTTCCCAGGCAAACCTGTTCATTAGACCATAGATAGAGAGTTGGAAGGGACTGTTAGGAGCATGTCATTGATGAGGAAGAGGATGTGTAATTACCCAAGGTCACACCACATGTAAGAAGTGGATGAGGGTGAGACTGCTCTGCTGACGGAACCAGGGCTCCCGGATGGCTGCCCGCCTCGGGGAGTGAGGCCAGCTGCTCTCACGGGCTTCAAGTCTCTCCCACAGAAGAAGTGCCATCGAAGGTTGCAGAAAACAAAGGTCAGAGGACCAGCAGAGCAGAGTGGATGAGGAGATGCTGGAGGCCTAGAGAGGTCACAGCACTTGCTGCGCCTTTGCTCTTTGCCAAGAAAAGCATCAGCCCCCCAGCACACACCAAGGCCCTTTCCCTCAGAGCTTTTTCCTGAAATCAGATTCCTTAGGCAAGATTTGCTCCTCTGCCTCAGGTGGTCTGGGGGTACATGGAATGAGAGGAGAGCAGTGGCCCAAGCCTTGGGAAAGTGGCCTGGTAACCCTTGCACACAGTAGGCATTTCATACATGTTTGCTGAATCTCACCAAACTGGCCTGTTGCCACTGGAAACCTGCCGCTCTATCTGTAACTGGTGAATCCCAGACACTAAATACTGCTTGGCACTCCAGGCTCTCCAGCCACACTGACCAATGGGGAGGCAGAGATAACTGCCTTCTCTCCTTTTCCTTAGAGAGCAGCGTGTGCCCCAATGGGCAGAGGGGCCATAACCTTGACACAATCCCATATAATGTCATGAATATGAGTATACAGACATACACATGAACCCCATTCTAGACACACACATGATAGCAGTCATATGCATGCACGGAAAGAATCTGCAAGGCCATGCCTGTCTTCGCAATAAATATTGGCTGTGTTACCCTGAGTGCCCTAAGAGCAAAAGATGCCAACCCACATGTTTGCAATGTATGTATATCTGTGTGATGTATATGTGCGTATTAAAGGGAGATAGGACAATCATTATCCTCTTTTTTACAGATGAGGAAACTGAGGGACAAGGAGGTCACACAGCTAGTAAGTGGTGGCTTGAGATCCAATACACTGCTAAATCACAACAGCACGCACACACGCACACACACACACACACACGCACACGCACACACACACGCACACGCACACACACACGCACACGCACACACACACACACACACACTCGCTTACATGAGTACATTCCTTTGTGTCAAAAGTTCAGTTTTTGTTAGTTACTGACTGGGTACTGTACCTAGTGGGCACAGAATTCTGGGCTCCTTGCTTCGAGAACATGTTGGCCCCACCCTCAGGGGTCACAACCTGGTTGAGAGAGACAAAGCCTGCCCCCTTGTGGAATGATAGGGCAATTGAGAAAGCACATTTTTCTGAGGGGAAAAGAACACACTGGAGATCTCAAGATAAGGATTCACCTTGTCATGCCCCAAACACAGCAAAGGAGAGAAACTGGGGGAGGCAGTGAGAGAGAATGGGGAGTCAGAGGTCCTAGCTTCCAATCTCAGCTCTGCCACTTCGTGTGCGTGTGACCTTGAGCCAGTCTCTTTCCCTCTTTGGGACTCGATGCCCTCCAGGGTCCCTGAAGACAAAAGGGGAGGTGAGAATTAGCAAAGGTGCAGCAGCAGCAGATGCCTATTGTCCTGGAAAGGGCATGTGCTCCTAGGCATTGGCCCAGGGCCCAAGGGATGGGGGGAGGTTGGAGGAATATGGACCAGAGGAAGGGGATAGGGAGGAAGGGTTTGAGTGGCTGAGTTCCTATTTGGTGGTTGGGGAAAGGCTTCACTGGAGGAAGAACCACTGTGGGTTCAACCACTCCCCTAAACCCACACCCACCCACACCCACCCTCTTGGTAGGGCGTACCTGGTTCCTTCCTATTCCTTTGGAGAGAATGATGTTCACAAGCAGGAGATCTTTACTGATGGCACCTGGCTGAGGTCTATCCAGGGCTTCTGCCAGAGGATATCCAAGTGCATCCTGGGCCTGAGTTTCTGCACATTCCATGGCCGAGGCCTCACCAGGAACTCCTGGGGCTTTCTGCCTTTCAACCTGCCCATCACCACTGTTGGTAAGTTTTCTCCCAGCCCCCAAACTCTCTCCTCAGGGCTTGACTCCCTATTCTGTCCTATGGCTGAAATGAAGGTTGGGAAGCAAAGGGCCTGAAGGGGAGGGAAGGCTGGCCCTCACTCCCTTCCCCCATCCTCCCTCTTCCCTAGCCAGATCCTGCTGGGCAGCTTTGGGGTTCAGCAGGATACTGATGCTTGGTTTGCCCGGGTCTTTTTCCAACTTCCTGAGCAGTTGGGGAGCCCTTTCCAGTTCCCAAGATGGAGAACCCAAGCCAGGAAATAGTGGACAAATATCATGTCCTGTACATCAAGGCACTGCGGAAACTGTTTGATGAGCACAAGGTCCGATATGGGGTCTCAGAGAGCCAGGAGCTGATGATCGTGTGATAGGACCCCACAAGCAGCAGAAGGAGGGATCCTGGGAAGGCCTTCTTCAAGCCAAGGTCACAGGAGCAGCCGAACCCAAACAGTGGCCAGTTAGAAATGAGCACACACCCTCCTTCAGCCTCTTGGCACAAGGGCCGAGCATGCCTAGCTGCTGCTGCCTTTGGGCTCTCTTCTTTCCTTTTTTTTCCCCTTAGGCGATTGGGGTTAAGTGACTTGCCCAGGGTCACACAGCTAGTGTCAAGTGTTTGGTCTGAGACCGGATTTGAACTCAGGTCCTCCTGACTCCAGGGCTGATGTTCTATCCACTGCACCACCTAGCTGCCCTTGGGCTCTCTTCTACTTCTAAGACCCATCACCCATATCCTTTCCATGGGCTTGCCAGTCCATACCAGAAGCTTAGGGGCTTACTCTTGAGTATCTTCTCATCAAGCAGGACCAGACATGCCTGAAAGGGCACCTGCCAGCCACCCCACATTGGTACTCTGTGCTGCTACTGCCCTAGTAGGCTCTAGTCAATGCCACCAATATTTATTGGGCATTCCCTGTGTGCAAGAGATACTACTAACAAGGAACTGACTGCCTGAGGGGGGGATGGACATATCCAAGCATAATCTAAGGCATTGGAGTAGGAGCCGAGCTGGGGGCGGGCGGGTGGGACTTCCTGAAGGGCATTGGAGCAGGGGCTGGGCCTCGGGAGGGGGGATCCTGAAGGAAAGGGCCTGTGCTGAGCCTTGAAGGAAACAGAAATCGCCAGCAGATGGAGCTGAGCAGTGGAGGCCACGCTCCCATTGCCTGGAGCTCCACAGCAGCTCCGGCTGCTGGCCAGCTCCCTATTTCTCCTGGTAACTTGAGTCCCAGCCTCTCACAGCTAGAAGGGATCTCAGAGAAGGTTGAGTCCAGCCCATATTGCAGCAGGACTCCCTCCTGTCAGACTGTCCATAGCTAGTAACAGCTGAGCAAGCTCCCGACTAGAGAGACATCCCAATCTGGCAGTTCTCCTGAATCTTCCTCCTAGGCCAGTGCCTGCCTCCCCCAGGGAGGTGAAAACAGCAGTGGAGCAGGATGAAGTCTGGCCTCCAAAAAGCATCTGTGTCAGGATGAAAAGCTCAGGGGGGAATTGAAGGGCAGCAGGGAGCCAGGAAATGGGTGTGCAGAAGCCAGGTGTCAGGCCTGGGAAGCAATGGGGAAAGGCCAGGAGCTAAGTAAACAAATGGGTCATTGTGGGGGTCAAGGGAAGCCCCACCCACAAAGGACACAGTGAAATATCCCAGGGAGATCTGAGCTCCAGGGGCCAACTAGGCTAATCTGCTCATTTGACAGATGAGGACACTGAGGCCCCTGGAGCATACATGACCTGTTCAAGGTCACACAGATGCTAAATGGCAGAGGGGGGGTCCTCTGACTCCAGAGCCAGTGCTTTCCCCACCACACCCACCTCTCTGCATCCATCCATACTGGCATTCCTTCCATGGCACTCCCAGAAATGGGAGGCAGCCCTTCGAAAGCTTCCACTCACAGACAACTCACTACCTCCCAAGACAGCCCATTGCCCTTTTGGACAGCTTTAGCTGAGCTGTTGGGAAGTTTGTCCTACCACCCAGCCTCAGGTCTGTCCCCTACATCCCCCATTGCTGCTCCTGGCTCCACCTTTGGGGAGCCCCTTTCCATGTGGCAACCCTCCAAAGACTCCAACACAGCTTTCGTGTCCCCTGGGAGTCTTTTCTTGTCCAGGCTAAACATGCCCGCTTCCTTCAACCAAGCCACAGAAGACATTGTTTCCAAACCCCACCACCACCACTGTCTTGGTCACTCTTCCTCAGCTACTTCAATGTCCTTCCTGAAAAATGGTGCCCCAAGCTGCTCCCAGTCTGACCAGGGCAGAGGATGGTAGAACAACCACATCCCTAGGCCTGGACACTAGGCCCCCCTCTCTTGATATAGCCTGAGATGCCACTGATCTGTTTAGCCTCCACATCACCCAGGTGACCCACATGGCTCTTCCAATCTCCCAGAGCATGCAAACTCTAGCCCCCAATCATTGTCACCTAGTTGTCCAGCCATCTGCTGCCCCTCGCCTGCACTGGTGCAGGCAACTCACTGTGTCTAAGCATCAGATTGAACATCGATTTGTATTGAGCACCATCGGATTCTGTCCAGCCCCATCACTCTAAGCCAGCCAGATCTTTGGGGATCCTGATACCATCATCCAATGTGTTAGCTGTCCCTCCTGGGTTTGCACCATCTTTGCCTTTATCCAAGTCATTGATAAAAATGTTGAACATCTCAGGGCCGAGCGCAGATTCCTGGCACATCCTTCAGAACACCTTCCTTCCAAGTTGATATTGATGCAGTGATGACCGCTTTGGGGTCCTGTAATTCAACCAGCTTTGAACCCACCTATCTGTATTATCACCCAGCCCACATCCTTCTATCTTGTCCAAAAGTATCTCATTAAAGGCTTTGCCAGAGTCTGGGTGTATCACGCTGTCCCCTGATCTATCATCCTGGTTACCCCTCAAGCTACCAGGAGAAGCCGCTTCCCCCTCAGCCAGGAAGCAGCATAAGAGGCTGAGAGGAAGGCCTCTGGAGGAGTCAGGTGACCTGGATTCCAGTTCCTGGTTTGACCATTCACTAGCCAGAGCAACTAGGCTAAGTACCTCTTTCTGTGCCATTTCCTCCTCTGTAAACCCAGAGGGATGGTCTAGAGCAGGGCTTCAGCTTTTTCCCCTCCAGACCCCTTTTGGAGTTTTGGCAGCCGGTAATCATGACTAGGGTTAGTTTGTGTTACATGGCGTGAGGGCATGAGCAGGGCAAAGGGCATTAGCATTCAGAGCCAAGGCTGCAGTGAAATTGCAGATGCAACATGGGCGAGCCCTGCCAGAAATGCCTCGGATTCATTATGCGTTTGCTTTTTAACCAATTTGTGGTCCTAGTGCTTCAGAAACCTTTTACTGTTGCCAAATTTGGGTTGAGACCCACAGTTTAAGACGCGCTGGTAGAGGGACTAGGTTCCTTTCAGGTCTCACAGTCTATGATCCAAGTCAGTTCAATTCAGCAAACAGTTATTATACACCTACTGGATGCAGAGTAATAAGCCTGTGCTGGGTAATATGGGAGAGAGGTAACAGAGTTTGCATGAAAGAGGGGCCTTCAGAGATTCCTGCCTTCAGGGAGCCTCCAGCCTAGTAGGAGGATAACAATGAGACCTAAGAAGTGCATTTGGAATGGGGTGCTAGGAGAAAGACTGGGTCTGGGATTTCATCGCCATAGGGAACTCCCAGGCCCAGAAACTGCCTGTGCCAATGCAACTTGTAGAGTCTTCAAGAATTGTCCAGAGCACTGAGGGGTGAGGTCCAGGGTCATACAGCCAGGATGTGGCCAAGGTGAGATTTGAACTTGGGGCTTCCTGCTTTAAGGCCAGCACTCTATCTATTAGGCCACACTGCCTGAGAGAAACAGGAGATCCTATGGGAAACCTGATAGGGAAAGCCACTGACATCATCAAGGAAGCAGGGGAGGCTTCTTGTAGGAGGTGCCTTTTAGGGTTTAAATTAAATAGACTTCAAAGCGTGCCTAGGGATTTGACAGGAAGAAGATGGAGATTCCAGGCACAGAGAAAAGCAAAGGTACAAAGGCAGGAAAAAGAGAGGTGTTGGGTCTGTCTGGAGAGCTCACCTGCCATGTGCTTGTGGAAGGTCTGGAACGCCAGCAGAGGAGTTGCACCTTCACTCAGCCTCCAAGAAGGACTCACCCAAGGGCAACCCGGAGTTCATCCCATGCCCGGCAGTAGCAGGCCCCTACTCATTGTATCCCATGGCCCGTTACTGAAGCTTCGGGATCCCAAAAGACAGATTCCATCTTGAAGACTGCTCAATAATAACTGACTTATTTTTCTCCTAACCAGAGGTCTCCTAGTGGCCAGAAAACTGGCTTATTAACATGCACGTAAGGAACAAGAAAGAGACTAGTTAGCAGGGAGTTAACTCTAGCTCACCTGCAGACAGGTGTGGTTCCTTCCTCTAAGGGTTAGTCCCACTCTCCACAAAATAAACCCCGATGCCCAATACGTGAGTGACTTCAAATGAATTGCAGTCCTTGGTGGATCCCAGCTTCCCTCTAAAGCTGCAGCCACCTGCCTGGTCTGTAGCCAGTCTTGCTCAGCTCCCCAAAGTACTAGCCACTCATCATGGCGTCCACAACTCCCAACCTTGAGAACCTCAGGGCTCGCCCAAAAGCTGCTGCCTTGGTCACCTCTTGCCATTCTAACTCCCAAACCCCTTCCTCCTCATGGCTTTCTTTCCCAGAAGCCCTTGTTTCCTTCTCCTCTGAATCTCACATGTGTGTCCTCTCTACATATATGTCTGCCCTCTATATGTGTTATCTGGCTACACATATTCCCTCTGTGTGTTTCTTTTTCCACTTGTGCTATGGTCATCTGTGGGAAAGCATACTTCTCTGTATTTGGGGACAGGCGAGGGTCATTTGTCATTTCTTTGCCATGCTATTTAATTAAATGTCTTGTTTTGGACTAGCATTTTCTCGGAGCTTGTGAGCTGTGATTCTGAAATGGATGCTGTCCTAGTGGCCCAAAGCACACTTGGAAGCAGGGATGATTTTGTTTTTCATTGTTTTAAATTCTGAAATGAGCAAACGCTACTTGAAATGTCATTCCTATAGACATGGTAGAGCAGAAAAAGAGGATTGTCCATAGAACTGCAGGTCTCTAGTATGAACAGCCTCCTTTTTAAAAAAAAATCATTTGATGCTGAACTTAAATGCCAAAAAGGAGCACATGTGGCAGAACACAAAAAGAAAGTTCTAGATGAAACCATAGCCCTCTGTTTCATAAGGCTGGCTTGTTCTGCACATGACTTTCAAAACCATCCTGCCAGTCTGTGTTCTCTTCCAAACACCCTTCTGTTCTCTTCTGTGAATTTGTAAAAGGATTATAATGGCTGGTGGGTTTTTTTTGGGGGGGGGGAGGGTCACTAACCCTTCCCTGACCCTCTCCTCAATTGAAAAAAAAACAAGAGAAAGAGGAAAAACAACTCTTGTGAAGGGTAGCTCTTGGAAGTCAAAGTCGTTGGTTTCCACTTCTATACTGGAATTGACTCCAGCTCCTCAGAGCTGATGGTTAAACTGTAAACTGGAATTTTGTAAACCAGTTGTCAGGCAGCCAGTTCAATCAGGACCTGCACTGGTAATGTTATTTGCTGCTTCAAAAGAATT